TCCAGTTCTTTTTTGAGGAGAAGAAACTTGCCCTTATATGCACTTGCGTCTGTGGATTTATATGCATTTACTTGTATTCACTGTAATTACATGTATTTATATGTATTTTCATACCCCCATATTTTTTAAAGTTAAAACTCGAATTTTTTTTTTTTTTTTTTTATGAGAGAATTTTTCCCACCAAACACACACCATGCATCAAATTCAGTTGTTTACACATTTAAATAAAAAGTGATGAAAAGGTTTGAACATTATGAAGAAGGGGTGATAAACATGGAAGAAAAAATTGAATAAGTACCTAAAAATGAGAACAAATTAAAAAATCTGAATTTGAAATGTTTTCATGTTCATCTCGCACCCCCCCCAATGTCCATAATTGTATAAACAACCCATGGTGTAATTCCTTGTTGTTCCCATAATTTGGTTCATTATTCAGGATACCCTTTCCATAATACTTTAAAAAAAATCCCATTTTATACCGCCTAAACTATATTCTTATTTTTACATTTTTTTGAAAAAAGCTAATTAACAATTTTTTTTTCAAAATCAACAGTGTGTGTAGGAAAAAAAAAAAAAAAAATATGTACATACATGTGAATATTAATTATACATGTACGCAAAGTCGTAAGAAGAAATAAAAAAGACTCTTGAAGATGTTTTTCTAAAACTATTGAAAACTATTTTTCATATGAAATTTGTCAAAAATATAAAAAAAAAAAAAAAAAAACATTAGAAGAAAAAAAAAAAGAAAAGAAATTAATTTACCCTGTTGGTAATTATTCAAGAAGGAGACATACAAATGTTGTATACTGACTTTAAGACATTATCCTCTTTTTCAAAATAAAAAAGGATTTTTTGTGTGCAATTTAGATTGGTAATATTTGCTCAAGTGAAATATAAATAAAGAAAATAGAATATAACATACTATATACACAGTATGATATTTAATCTTTTATATCAACTGGGTAAGAAATCTTCAAACAGTTTCATGTTTTGAATACCCATGTCTATATATTCACTTTTTTTTTCTTTTTTTATCCACTGGAAAATCTACATACCCATATATATTCCTTTTCTACGCTTTAAGAAAATATTAATTCGCATTAACATTTTTACAAAGCACATTTGTGAAAATGTTAAAAAGAACAAATGGATATATTTCTTAACATATTCCAACCTATAGTTTTAATCTTAAAACTTAATGAAAGAACAATTGGATTTTCGTTTAAATTAGAAGCTTACATTCATGTATAATCTTCTATTTTAACATTCAAATTGTGTTAAAAAAAAAAAAAAAAAAAAAAATGTGCTATGGAATATTTAATTATAAAAATAATTTGTAAAGAAATTAATACTATTAAACACCTCCTTAGTCCTTTTTTCCTGCATTATTATTATCCATCGCACAAAAATATCGTATTTTCCTTTTGTACATAAAAAAATAATATGGAAAAAAAAACGAAAAGACAAACATAATGATTGCATGTTCACTATATTTTATTTCATAAAATAAAAAATTATGGACAGTAAAATTTGAAAAGTTCAACTTTGCAGGAAATATAGCATTGCGATATATATACACACTCTTCATATTTATGCCTACATACGTGAAATACATTCATAGGTACTAACATACATATATATATATATATATATTGCACTTTATCAATCACAGGCTCTATTTAATCAAACATATTTCCATTCCTTTGCCTTCACAAAATATAAGGATCCTGAAAATAAACAGGTCGTATCCTGTGAAAATTATTCTCTCAACTTTATAGACATTCTTCTCGTTTAAATTTTTTTTTTTGTTTTTTTCTCCTTTTTTGACGTAAACAGACCAGCTAAGGTATAGAAATATAAGGTATAGAAATAATTTCCCTTTTTACTTATATCCCATCACTTTTGTTAGAACTTTTTTATTATGGTAAAGGTGTAAATTTTAACATGCTCTCTTAAGATTAACTTTTTCACGTTTTAATACGTTTTGTACCTCGTTATTTCTATGGAAAAAAAAAAAAAAAAAAACCTTCACTGAAGTTAGAGGAAATGTATCCATACATCCTTCCCTATTTCTTCAGTTAGTCCCTAGTTTTATCAACACCTATACAGGGATAGTGAAACGTATCATGTAGAATTATTGAAATGGATCAAGCTACCTGACAATGTACCAAATTTCGATGGTGAAGATTTTTTTTTTATTTATACCTGCAAACAATCCCATTATGCTGAAAAAAATAAAAAAAAAAATCGAATTTGCTTGATATAATTGTTCCTTTCATAGCTTTAATTCTTCTATTTTTTTTTTTTTTTTTTTTTTTTTTTTGTTTCCCTCTTTCTCCTACTTTTATTATGTCAAAGGTTGTCCGTTAGCCTATCAAGTTCACCTAAATAATCGAATCGCATGAAACAAATTCGTACATTAGATTTTGTGCAATGGCAAGAGCTTTCTTAAAAATGTTAATCCGTTTTTTGCAACATTTCTCTCTTTACTAAGAAAAATCACCCTACATGTTTAATACAATAATGTATCCACTGTTCTATGAAAAAAAAATAGTGAAAAAACTCATACAACACGATTCCCTAATTCTGTTAGCAGACGGATTTAATGAGCTCAACATCCTCGCAATATTCATTTTCTATTACCAAAATAACTGCCTATGGTATGAAGAATGCACCCAGGATGAAAATGTCTTCTTCGAGTTGTTCAAACTTGATATAGGAAAACCGGTGAATGATGAGCAAGCTAAGGAGACGGGGAAACATGAAGACAGAAAAGAGGAGAAAGAGAAACAGGAGCAGCAGGAAGAAAGACAAAGCAGTGGAAGTCATGAATATAGAGAACTTAATCATGGAGAAGCAACACCTGTGAACCCTAGCCAAGTGGGAGGAAAAAATTCGAAAAACGAGACAGATACTTCATTAAGGAAAAGAAAAATTGACAACCTTCTTGACTCCTTTAGGTATGATTCCTCTAGGGGGGGAAATAACATGAGGGAAAATACCCTTAGGAAGGAGAATATGATTAATGAGATGATCAGAACGAGCATAGCGGGTACACATAACACGACCACCACGGAAAGAATGAAAACTATGGAAAGCATGGCCACCACTGAAATGGCTAGCACCACTGAAATGGTTGGCACCACTGAAATGGTTGGCACCACTGAAATGGTTGGCACCACTGAAATGGCTAGCACCACTGAAAAGGTTGGCACCACTGAAATGGTTGGCACCACTGAAATGGCTAGCACCACTGAAATGGCTAGCGCCACACCAAAAGGGGACCACGTGGGAGGAAACAGAAACAAACTCATATTCATCTTAAACGTATCCCCCAAGGAATATAACATGTTCCTGAAATATCAAGTTGATCTGTATGATGAAATAAGCAAAATTGACAAAGAATTTAACAAGAGTGTGAAAATAAACTACTTGAAGACAGAATATATACGAAGCCAGAAATCCAATGAAAGGATAGAAATGTACATAAAAAGAGGAGTGTATTTTATTTCATCCAATATTCTCCTAATTGACCTTTTAACATTTAAAATAATTCCAGAAATAATTGATGGAATTTTCATATGCAAAAATCATAAACTTATATATAATATGAAAGAGATATTTATTATAGAATTGTATAGAAAAAGAAATAGATTTGGTTTCATAAAAGGCATAAGTAACAACAAAAGAATAATAAATAATCAGCATATATTAAATCTAAGTCAAAAATTGAATATAAAAAAAGTATATTGTTATCCGAGATTTCATAAAAATATACACATTTCTCTTAATAATAAATTTATACAACCAACAATTTATGAAATAAACATGGAATTACCACCTATAATCAACAAAATGGAAGAAAACCTCCTCAATTTAATCCATTATTTAAATTTAGAAATTAAGAAATTTCACACCTTTACAGATTTTGATATTAACGCCCTAATATATTCTGATAGTGCAGAAAATTACACTATGAATTATATTAAGAGCAAGAATCTTACCTATAATACCAAAAAATTATTAAAAGAAATTATTACACTTGTTCATATATTAAACAATTTATACATTTATGATCATGTTGTATTTGATAACTACTTGAATAATGTAAAAGAAGCTGATAAAGAATCCATATGGATGTATTGTAATGAAGCCAATGATATTTTCTTCTTATCCAGAGAAAGGAAAAATAATTTCTTAAAAGCCATTAACATAAATTGTGAAGTGGATATCGACCATCAAGATAACTTACAAACCATCTTGTACAAATTACAATATGAAAATAAATATTTCCATAAATCATATGAAGTTAAAAAAGAACAAAATCAAATGTACAATTGGATCTATCAGTTTGTCTATAAACGAGATATTCAATTTAATCAATTTAAAAAAATTCTTTTAAAAGAGAAATCCTCTGAAATAATTTATGCCGACAAAACCAAGAGAAAAAAAGGGAATTCGAACATAAACCTACCTTCCACCAATGACCCTTCGAAAAAGACAAAAAGGATTGAAAGTCAAGAGGATACAAAAAGAGGAAATTCTCAAAAGGAAAAAATAACTTTACAAAAAGAGAAAAACGAAATTATCCCACCTCAAGAGGATCAACAAATTAGTGCACCACACACACAGGGATTCACCAAAATCAATGTAAAAATTGAACAAAAAACTCCAGAAAAATATGACACACGTGCACATAACGAAGGAAAACAATTCAGAAAAGATAATGAGAGCGTACTAGATAAAGGAAACCCACTTGATGTTTATTTAAAAAGTAGGAACATGGAAAAAGATGAACTAAAAATAAAGAGAGAAAGGAAATTCCTCACGGGAAAAGAAGAACACATAAAAGATGGACAAAATAGAGATAACGAACGAGGAGTAACAATAGAAATAAATAATCATACATATAATGATGAAATGAAAGGGAGCTCTGAAAATCTGGATCATATTGAAGCAGATAAAATAGACTACCCAATTGCAATAATAGTAGATAATTTCTATACACAAAAAGAAATTTATAATTTGTTACTTCACAAGAATGATAATAACATAAATATAAATCATCTTTTTCAAAAATCAGAAGATCAAATTGGAGAATATTATATTTCAGATAATTCACAAAAATCATCGTCCACTAGTTCAGAGGATTTGTTTCAAAGTAAAAACAATTTTCGACACACTCATAACAACAATTATTATATACCTTACAAATTAATTAAAAACAAAACGGAGAATCTTAAATTTATAAAACCACATGTGTATATTCTGTGCATAAATAAAAACTACGATATGGTACATACATCTGAAAATTTCGTTAATGAATGTTCAGCTAAAATTGATGCAATAAATGAAAACACGAAAAATCAACCCATATTATCACCTGATGAAGAAGTAGACTCATATGAACACGAAAAAAAGAGAAAAAAAAAAAAAATGCAGGCACAAAAAGATACTTTAACTTCAGAAGAAGATTCAACATATACAAAAGACCAACCCATTCGAAAAAGAAACGGTGCAAACATATTTGAAATAAATGAATATTGTGGAAATCTAGACTTTTTAGAACTTTTTCTAATGCATATCAAACCGTATAGAATCATTTTGACAAAACTAGAATTAAGCATTTTCAGAAACATTGAAATTTACTGTGCAAGACTTTTTCAACACAATTTGTATAAATTACATTCCCATAATTACTTCACAAAATTGATGAAGTATGAGGAATACAGATTAGTGTATGATGATAGCATGGCTATCCCTCAATCATCTGTGAAGGAGGAGAAGAAAAATCGAATGAACCCCCAATGGAGGATGCAATACCAGGAGAAAAAGGACAAAGGAGTGGAAAACTTCAAACTCCTGGAAATTTTAAGCGATATGGGAAACACTGTCGAAGTATTTCTGATCTTCTACAAGAACAATATTATGTATAATAAATACCTAAATGATGTAAAGATGGAAAAAACAAATTGGTTAAAATTTATCGAAAACAAAAATAATCTGCGTTTTGAAGTAGATCGAAATGTCTTCAACAAAAATAAGGATCTTTTTAAAAAAGTGATAGAATCGTACTTTTTGTTTCAAAAAAAGTTTAAAGAAAATAAAAAAAATATTCTCAATTTTAATAAGTCATTATGTGAAGAATTTAAAAATTTCCAAAATGTAAAATTAGATGAACAAGTAGAAAATAAAAATGCTCTTATACATTCACTTAACACAAATTTCATAAGTATGGAAGAAGAAGAATTGTTCATGCAAAATTATAAAAATAAAACAAATAATAAAAAAAATGATACAGCACTGCTTACCAACCTTGATGAAAAAACTATAGGAAAAATTCAACAAATTTTACAAAATTTTTCCATAGATTCATTTAGTCTAAATTTTATCCTTTATAGCATTTTTAATAACACTAAACCAATTGTTATAGTTGACATTCGAGAATTAAAATCAGATTTGTCATATAAATTATACACAAGCAAAATGCACATCATTCCATATTCTCTCCTAGTTGGAGATTATATTCTTACAAAGGATATATGTGTAGAAAGAAAAACTATAGTAGACTTAATCCAATCCTTAAATAATAATAGATTATATAATCAGATTAATCAAATGTCAAAATATTATTCCATATACGTTTTATTAATCGAATTTAACACCAAACATTTATTTTATTTCTCATCCTTAAGTGATAAAAATTCTATTTACACCAAACTAATTATTCTTTGTCTTCAATTTCCAAAACTTAAAATTTTATGGAGCCCTTTTTCTCTTTTTACTGTAAAACTTTTCTGGTCCTTTAAAATTAATTCTGAACAGCCAGACATTTTTAAATCTCTTCACATTGACATGACCATAGAAAGAGATGCACAGCGTCAATTTCGTGCATCTGATAAAATGGATAATAAAAAAGATCATATAATCACAATGCAAAATCAAAACTGTTTACCCATATCTAATGCTGAAGAATTGCAAAATAAACAACCATATTTAGCAATGTCCAACTGTGAGGAGCAAGACCCCAAGAATCATCTACAACAGATAGATAGCCATAATGAAAAAAATTCAGACAATGAAAATGAACAAACATCAGATACTTATAAGTATGAAACTATAAATGATCTATTTGATAAAAATTTAAATAATATAGAAAAAGAGGATGACATCACTAATCATGCTTTAAAAAAAATGCATAATGTAACGAATTGGTCTGCACTTGAAATTTTAAAAGCCCTTCCTGGTGTTACTGAGAAAAATATGCATCTCATAATTAATAACGTCAATTCTTTGTGTGAATTGTGTGAAAAAACAGTGGAACAATTGGAAGGATACATGAGTAAAAGCAATGCCAAGATGCTGTACGAATTTTTGAACACCGACGTCTCGTGATATTATTATTTTATTTTTTTTTTTTTTTTTTGCAGTTGCACTTCATATTGGTTATATTGTACAATCCTTTAATGGTCAACCTTGTCACCATTGTTTACTCTGTATGTTTATATAACTCCATTTTGATACTCTCGCACAATGTTCAAAACATTTGTGAAGGCCAAAATTTTTTAAGTCCATACAGATATTGAGAATTACGCACCAATAAACAAGTGTCGCATGTATACATACATGCATAAATACGTACACACATACGCACACACATACATGCATAAATACTTACACACATTCGCACACACATACATGCATAAATACTTACACACATTCGCACACACATACATGCATAAATACTTACACACATACGCACACACATACATGCATAAATACTTACACACATACGCACACACATACATGCATAAATACTTACACACATACATATCCATTTACTTCCCCTTTTTGCTTCTTTTATTTTTTTTTTTTCCAATCTCGCTCCTGCCAATTTTTATTGTATCTATTTTTTTGGTAAACCCCTTTATTTGGTATGCGCTCCACTTTTCCATACCAGCAAACAGTAATATGTCTCTATCCCCTCTTATTTTATTATTTAAATTTTGTTACGGAATAATTTTTTAAAAAGTAGATCCAGAAGGTGAATCACCAAATCTGTGGATCTCTTTTCCATCGTGTGTTTGTGTGTGCTACCTAAGTCTTTTGGTTATTCGAGTGACCATTCAGAACTTCGAAATTCACAATTAGATGGAAAGCTAGTTCACCAATTAAATACACAAAATGAATATTTCCCTTCTTTCACCCATTCTATTGACTTAAAAACGGTTTGTCGTTTCCTACTTCCACAGGAAAAATCGTTTTAACTCACCTACATTTAGAAATAAGAAAAAATAATTTACTCACACAAAAAAAATTCCCTCCAACTGGGTTAAAAAAAAAAAACTTATAGTAAGGGATCTACATTTATTCTGTTCACAAATGTCTATCTCCATTCCTGTCTCTATTCCTGTTCCTATTCCTGTTACTTCTTTTTTTTTTTTTTTTATGCCTCATCTCCCCACAAATAAACAGGGTTGTTACTTGTGTATTCCTTTTCCATTTCCTCACACAATCATACTTCTGCAACGTGAGACCAATTCAAATTGATTTTATTCCTTTTGGAAATTCACAAACTGTGCAATGTAATTTTACACCTCCAAATGTAGATCAACGAAAAATAAGTTGACTTACCATTCTTAACTTTTTTTTTTTTTTTTTTTTTGGTACACACAAAAAATTTAGTAGCCCAATTTTTATATCATATAATGAGCTATTTTTTTTTTTTTTTTTTTTTCTTTCTCCATAGTCAAAATACCCTTTTTTAAAATTCATCAAAAGGGTATAGAGAAACATTTTACTTTTTTTTTTTTTTTAAAAAAGAAAGTATAAGAGGACTACTTATAATTTTAAAAATATTTTATCATCGTTAACAGGGATGATAGTAATGGAGAGGTAGTGTGGCCCATTCACTTGATCATTGCAATAATTATATTCAGGTAAATACACATTCAAAATAATATCAACATCATGCTATATAGTAGTAGCAATTTCAAGGAGGGCACAAAATATGAAGGAGTAATGTGAAATTATTTTTCACTTTTCCCATTTCTTTTAAGTCATTGCTTAATTGTTCTTGTCAACTTTTATGTGAGGTTGGTATGTAATAAAATGACCCTCATTTCCTCCCTCCAGTTTAAAGCTATGCAAGATTAAGTAATAATACGAAATTTTATTTTTTTGTGTTTTTTTTTTTTTTTGAATTTCTTTCTTTTTTGGCAAATATTTTAACATGGTCTGTGTTATATTTTTGATCTGTACGAACCAGGATAACCGAGCTAAAAAAAAATAAAAAACACTTTTTCAAAATAAAAATTTTTTTCTTCATATATATACATCTCGCAATTCCTTTGCACATTTGCCGTTTTTTATGACTTAATCCAAGGCTTAATTTTAATTAAATCATCCACCTGGTATGCTTGTAATACATGGATAGAGAGATACGTGCATATTACAAATGTCACACTTGCTTCTACAATTAAATGTAAACACATTATCTACATTTTTCTGTATCCTAGAACTTATCCTCCTGTATATATTCCTAGTTCATCAGTTAAGATAAGCATTATGAGATCATCTACATCATCACGTTCATGATAACACATGATCACATGACACCTTTGGAGAGGGGTGGGTGGGTGACAAAACACATTCGTGCAGATGCTGTATAGTTCGTATCGCAATTATATTGTAGGACAAATAAAAACCCCATAAATATTTTCACATACATAGCCACACGTACACAAACACACACATAGGTACACAAGCATACACATCGTGAGTGTTGTCTCAAGTCCCATAACCGAAATTTTGTACGCCCAAGCATTTCCACAACAAACCTACCTCTTTATGGAAATAAAAATTAACAATGAAGAAGAAAAAAAAAAAAATAAAAACAAAAATAAAGTTTTGGTATGCGGCCTGGCTTCAGGTTTAGTTACCAAAACTTTATTTGCCCCTTTCGATCGGGTAAAACTTTTTTATCAGATCCAACCTATGTTTCACCATTACTCCAAGGAGAAAAATAAATGTGATTTAAAAGTTAAGAAAAAAAAATATGTTATAAGCAGCAAGAATTTATTATTAAAGAACCTGGACAAAAAGGAAAACAAACAAACAAGCGTTACCACAAAATTAGATTTAAAACCAAAGAAGTATGTTCAAAGTGAGAATGTCGTATTTCGTAATTTTAAAAATTCCTTAAAACAAATAATTCAAAATAGCACAAAAAAAAAAAAAAGAAAAAAAAGTATGAACAAGAATATCAAATATTCTGACCTGTGCATACATTATAATAAATCAAAATATTCGTCTTCTCATGAAACTTTTAAAAAAATTTTATGTACCTATCAGAGAAATAAAACAAATGTAAATAATCTAAGTAAAAATTATACACTTTTAAGCACTAATAACAACATCAGACATGTATTAACACGCAAAGGTATGTTCTTGAGCAAAGCAAATAATAGCATCAACCAACCACTCAAATATCAAAGTATTACACAAAGTTTTCTCTTTATAATTAAAGAAGAAGGAGTATTGGGCCTATGGAAAGGAAATTTAATAAATACACTTCGAGGTGGTATTGTGTACTCAGCTAAGTTCGGAACGAATGATTTAATAAAAGATAAATATAAAAAAAAAAAAAAGGAAGAAAATACCTCAGTGCAGCTAATTACAAAAGGAATAACCAACAAAGATGATAAAAACTATAAAGACGACAAGGATGGAAAAAATGCCAATAATCAACTTAATAGAGAGAAAAAAAATTTTAACTATTACGAAAGTGTTATAGCAGGCTATGCCTCAGGCATAATACAAAAAACCCTATCATACCCTCTAGATTTACTAAGCATCAGAGTAGCATTGGGAATAAATGAGAAATATTTAAGAAATAATAATTCAGTGTTATATAAAAAAAAATCCATCTTTAACATTATTCGAGAAATTAATAACAATGAAGGAATTACAGGATTTTTCAAAGGGTATTTACCCACTTTATTAACAGGTGTACCTTATGTAACATTACAAATGCTATTTTTTGATTATTATAAAAATATATTTCAAAATTATTTTCCCCACAAATCAAATTCAATAAGTTCAGTTGCCATATATTCATCAGTAGCCGGATCCCTCAGTAATCTATCCTCTTTAATAATTGTCTTTCCAGGAGACACAGTTAGAAAGAGAATGATGAATAACGGAATAGATAACAAAAATTATATTTATAAAAACACAATTCATTGTATTAAAAATATTTATTACTATGAGGGGGTCAGAAATTTCTATTACGGTTTGTTTCCCTCCATGCTTAAGTCTATTCCCTCAGGGGCAATACAATTCATGTCTTATGAAATTTTGAAGCATATGCTATCGCATGAATGACGAGCCAAAATTCGTCCATGTTGGGATAAACCAGGTCGAATTGAGCTAAAATGGAATAACACGAAAAAGTTAAAAATATGCATATATATATATGTGAAATAAATAAATAACAGCCAAATGATAACTGAAACGTAAGATGCATAATATTATTCATCAAAATATACATCAGACACATTGGTATTTTTTTCTCATTCTTAAAGGAGCGCTGATGCCCATGTATTGCAAAAAAAAAAAAAAAAAATTTTAACATTTTTCAATTTTTAAAGTATTCAAAATAATTTTTTTTATTTATTCTATTCCTTTTCAAATCGTGCTTCGCTTTACACGAATCTACGCCCTTTATCCAAAAAACTTCACATTATTCTCAACACGGTTGTTACTCTTCGAAAGAAGGGGTATTTTGTGGGTATGTTATTACATTGTGTATTGTTTTGTTTTTCTTCATTTTGTTTCACTTTATTTTGCTTTATTTCGCTTTGTTTTGCCACAGTTTACACTATATATTATCCTTCCCCTTTTCTTTCTTTCATTCTATTTTTTTTTTTTTTTTTTTTTTTTTTTTTTTTTTTTTTTTTTATTTTGTCTTTACCACGAGCATTTTTAAATATTACCACTTTTTTCATGTAACTAAACACTTGTCATAACAATTGAATAATTAATTTAACTCTGTTTTTTTTTTTTTTTTTTGTTTTTTTTCCTTTTTTTTACAACCCAATAATGATGCAAAAACTTCCAACTTTGTCATAAGGATGAAATGAAGAAAAATAAAACAAATGATGCACACTCAGTGTACAGCATGATTTTAATTATTTAACCTTTGCTTCTTTTTTTTTTTTTTCTCTTTCCTTTTCAATACTCCCGTGTGTTATGCAGATACATATATATATGTATATATTATTTATTTGTGTATATATATATGAATATGCATAAAAAAAAAAAAAAAAAAAATTCATCACTTCCCAGTGTTGTTAATGTTTATCACATGCAAAATGGTTGTAAGAACTTTTTTTTTTTTTTTTTTTTCTATCAACTAAGGGGCTTTCATCATATGTATGCATCTCCGTGCGCACATAATATATAGATAAGAAAAATTTTCTGAACATTCGCCATGACATTTTCTCTTGTAGAAAGCACAAGTTTAGAGGGTAATGGATACGAAGAAAATTATCAAACAAAATATACTTTATCTACACGTAAAAAAAAAAAAAAAAAAAAAAAAAAAAAACATCTGAGCACATGGGGTACAAAATTACACCAACATGTTATACTTAGTTAGGGTAATAATATTTGACAATATATACCTTTTCTTACAAAATCCAATGTTGTTCTGAGTTCGTAGAAAAAATAACCACACCTATACATATACTAGATTTTACTTCCTTTTTTCATTTTGTATTCACACCATTCGTATAGTAAAAAACAAAAAAACATATAGCGCACACGTAATATATATTTATGTATATACATATCTTCCCTTTTACGTATTTTTCTCCCTTTTTTTTTTTTTTTTTTTTATTTGGGAATACATTTTCGTTCTTATCTCTTTATTCAACACAACAAAATAAGCCCGTTCATTTTACATTTGTCACATTATTGCATACATGCACGTTATATTACCAATTTGTTATCACCTGCTTTCGAACTTTCCCATTTTTTTTTTTTTTTTTTTTCTTTTTCAAACCCCTTACACCCTTTTGACTATATACAAAAATAATTTAGTATTTTGATTATTAATAAAACAGTGTCATACAAGTATACACATATACACCATAAGCATAGAAATGTATTATTTACCATAAATCTTAGAAAATTTCCCAAATATATTTATCCATAGAATAAGTGTACTTCTTTTTTTTTTTCCTTTTTATTTTGTATTATGTATTAACATGTGCATGTTTTATTTTTCCAAATAATAACAAAGACATATTTTTTTTGAAAAAATGGAGAAGTCTCTGGATTTAAGTAGCTTTAATAAAAGTGATAGGGAGAAAATTATGAAGAAAATAAACAAAGCAGAATATGAAGACACTATGAGTACTTACAATTCAATAGTAGAAAGGTGCTTCAATGAATGTATAACATCATTTAGGTCCAAAGAATTAGATAGCAATGAAAACAATTGCATTTTAAATTGTGTTAAAAAGTTTTCCGTTTTTTCACAGAGAATTGGCATGAAATTCACGCAAAATTTGAATAACGAAATGCAAAAAAAGGCTTAATAAACGGAGTTTGTAAGATGGGGTAGAAAAATCATGTGTGGACAAATTGGAGCAATTAGGCGAGCATATAGCACAGTATAAACACACACATGCATAGAATTATTCGTATACTCGATTATACGAGTAGCAAAAAAATTAACAAAAAAGGCACAAATAAATAGACATATATATATATATATATATACATTTTTAAGCAGTTATCCATCCGCATGCCCATTCAAGATACTGCACATATCTTGAAGTGTTTCCATTGAACTTTCCTCATCTAAAGTTCAAACACGAACACAATAGTTATAAACAGAATATATTTTTTTTTTTTTTTTTTTTTTTTTATATCCATGTAGCCAAATTATTTTTTAAAAAATTATTGTTCTACAGTATACTTCTTTTCTGAATTTTTTACATGAATTGTTCAGAAAGTTTTTACACCTTTTTCCCATTTCGAACATGCATACATATCCATGCTTTACTAGGCAATTTCGTATTTTTATAACGCTTTAAGGTATTATATCACCATGTCATATTTACCATATTTTGCGCATTTTCCCATGAGCTGTTTTCTTTTTTTTTTTTTTTTTTTTTCTTTTATTACATCCTCTTGTCTTCTCCTCAATACAACCTTTTCGGTTTGTGCAGATAAATATAGTCCCCCCTACCTAAAGATATATCCCTTATATCAACCAAAAATTTGTGTAGTACATAATTGTTATTTTTAACAAATAAAAATGTTAAAATATATTTTGAAAAATTGAAAATAAATGAAAAATAACTCTTGGACAAAACATAAAAGTAAATATCCTCCATTTTAGTATCCTCACTTTTACTTTCATAAAAATAAATTAAAGATTCCAAAAGTTTCATCATATGCCTCTCCTTATACATAACTTGACACACTGGTTGAGAGTTGTTAAATTTGTTAATCAACTCGTAGATCTTATTTTCTCTGTATTGCAACATGTGAAATGCGTAAAATATTCTGGAATAGAGAATATAATTTATATTTCTTTTTAAAAAAATGTCACAAAAAAGGTTCAAAATTTCTGTAATGTTCACTAGGTTAAAAGCATAGTACTCTAAGATATATATAATATTATTTATATACATAGAATTACTCATTTTTATATTGTATAAATTATTTACATAATAATTATTCTTTTTTATATTTTCATAATCAATAAAACTCAAATTTACGAAATTTTTATACTTCATTTTATTTTCATATCCCTCGCCCTTTCTTTTACTCTCCTTCTTCCCCTTCTCATCTTCCATATGTGCATTTCTTAAATTTATAAACTCATCTTCATAATTTCTCCGCTCAATGCTTTTATCGATACTCCTCTCTATTTCCAAAAACAGCTTCTCCATATCTCTTCCCCCTGCAGGACCCTCTTCTGCATTATAATTCAGGTAATACCCCATATCTGTCTGCTTACTGCTGTAATCGTCATTTCTACTCACCTCAGCTGCCTCTTCGCCAGCATCGTTTCTACTAACTACAGCTGCCTCACCGATGCCCTCCGTCAAGTTACTCAGAATAAACACATTTAACACGTCCACAAATTCGTTTTCTTTAAGGGAAAAATTGTTCAGAGCTTTACACAACAAACCTACCTCATTAACACTAAAAAAGTTATAATATTTATAAAAAAATTGCAACGAATAATAAATTAAACTCCCATGTTTGTGATTCGCTTTGCTAAAAGACAAAAGCAAACAACTCACTAGCGAGGGTGTCAATTTAGTCGATTGCTTACCAACTTCTTCTGCTATCTTCTCTAAAAGAAATTTATTTTTATCAATATTTACTATGGAAGAAGATATTAAGCATAAGGACTCAATTGGCATGTTCTTCAATTTCTTCTTTGTTACTTCTTCAACACTTTTTAAAGCATTCTTAATAGAATACACCAAACTGACATTGTATGAATTCTGTTTTAGGGCATTAGTTTTTTCTCTCAATGTTTCCAATTCCTTACTTTTGTAGAGAAAATTATTTTCCAAATTAGACAATTTTACTTTTAGTATTTCTCCTGAATTATTAGTCTCCATACATGTTTCTCCACCCAGAGGTGGTTTATACTTTTGCTCTGTTTCAACAATTTGCCGATTAACATTTTCATCATCCTCCTCCTCTTTCTGGTCTATCCCCACTTCCCACTCCTCATCATAGTCAAAGTTAAAATTCTTTATCAACCCTATTAGCTCTTTTTCTTTTACAAAATAGTGATAATTCTTATGACATTTCTTACTAACATAAGACAAGAAATTATAAAAAATGGCTACATTTTTGGAATCATCATGCACGTTAACATGCTCATTAAAATTATGGATTAAAGAATTTATAAGGATATTATTATTTATGTTAAAATTTTTGAAAAAAGCAAAAAGAACTGAAAGCTGAAATGTGTTAAACTGATTTATATTTTTTGATATACTATACAGTAATATCGTTAAATAATTTTTCGTTATAATCTTTTTTTTATTAAAACATTGTATTAAACAAACTAATTTTTTCAAATTTAAAAGGTGAAAATTGTGAAATATTCTTTTCTCAATTAAAAAAAAAAAATTATAATGAAAATAATTTAAATTAGTAAATGCAAAATATACATCCACTAAAGCATCACAACCTAGTATATGAATATTTTCACTTAGTACATCTTTAAAGTAACAAAATAAAAAATAATTTTTGCATTTTATAATGGAAAATTGTTTTAACAAAATAACTATGTCCTTGTATCTCAGTTTTTCCTTGTTCATTAGCAAATTTATAGAAATATTTCTTAACAATTCAACATTATCATTTTTATACTTTATGTACACATTTAAAACTTTTATAAGATCATTTGTGTTGTATTGGTAGTAATCATTTAACGTAGGACAAGCAGAGGGGGAGGAGAATCTGTGTAAAATGGTGTCACCTTCTTTTGTTTTAAACTCTGCATTTTTTGCCTTATCACCATTTGTGCTTTTTATAGCAGCATGTGTTGTCCCTACATTTCTTCTCTTATTAAAAAGTATAAATAGATTTGTTTCACAGTTTTCAAATGTATATCTTTTTTTACGTCCAAAATTGGTTAAAATAAAAACTCTACGCATTTTTTTTTTTTTTTTTTTTTTTTAAATTTTTAATTCATTTTGAAAACTCTTTTTCTTTATCATCTTTCACAAAATATACATTTCCTTCATTTTAGAAAAACTAAATTAAGTGTATAATATGTCCCATTTTTCTTTTATTTTTTCATTATAATTATGTTAAATCCCCGCTCCACTTTTTTTTTTTTTTTTTTTTTCTTTATTTATTCGTTACGTATTTGTGAAAGGCACTAAAAGGTATAATGTTTACCTTCGAATTCTTCTGTTCACTAAGTGTAAAGTCTTTTGAAAAGTTACATAAAAAAAAAAAAAAAAAAAAAAATACATGTACAAATAGGTACCATATAAATAATATCCCCAATACAAGTATGTGCATATAAAAAATTTGCATATACAAAAGTATATACAACACTTTACATAGCCTCACACACTAAATATACATATATATATATGCATTTACATATATGGACAAATTTACTGTGCATTTTCCAATTTTTATTTTTCATTCTTCCAAAATATCACTTTCGAGAGTTAAAAGCGTGCAAAAAATGAATTTCACCCCAAATGATAGAAATAAAAAATCGCTATAAAGTATAAACAAGTTCCCACTTTAAAATTAATATATCTTTTCTAATTTGACCTTCCTTTTGTACATGTGATGTTTGTATTTATAAATATTTCCTATTTTGCATATCGGAAATGATAGGCATATACAGGATTACGAAACACTGTGCCTGTTCTCTCAATTTTTAGTTCATTTGTTCATTTGTTTGTTTGTTCGTTCATATGTTAGTGTATTTGCTAGTTTGTTCGTTCATATGTTAGTGTATTTGCTAGTTTGTTCGTTCATATGTTAGTGTATTTGCTAGTTTGTTTGTTTACTTTCATGTTGCTTTCTTTTTGTTCCTTTTATTTTATTTATTTATATATTTTATGTATTTATTTTATCTTTTTTATTTTTAAGAACATTTAAACACAAAATAGTACGCATAACGGATGTGAACACGTATTAATATGCATAGATACGCTGCCTCACATAACCCAATCAATGAACCCCACACTTCCATGATTCCCACAATGACATGGCATGTGCTTTAAAAAATTTCCCTCTTTTTTTTTTTTTTTTTTTTATGTACATGTTTTATTTATCCCCCTTGTATTAACCAATATGACAGTTATTTTACCTAATTTGTGTATGCCGCTCCCCCACCCCCCCTTTAACAACCTTGTGTTTTTTTTTTTTTTTTTTTTTTACGTCCATATTTGTAATTCTTCTATCCTTTATTTCTCCAGTTGTGTTTGCACGTTATCATTTAATAACTACGTAAATTTTTCATAACCTTCAAAAAAAAATAAAAAAAAAAAATATATATAATTTCATGTACAAGTGACATTTTCTTGTGTTTGTCATATAGAGATATAGAAATATATATATAAAAAAAAAAAAAAAAAGAAAACAGTGCATACGATTTTGCCACAAGAATTCATTTCTGTTTTTGTGTCCTCGTCTACGCTTGTGTATGCACAATGTGCAAGTGTAGGAATATTGCTTATAAGCATTTATGCATATATAATATATTCATATAAATGTATATACATTATGCATAAATATACATAGACAAGTGTGTGTATGTATTCAAACCTACACATGTGTGTGTATTGTGTAGTGTGTGTGTGTGAGTTCAGAAAAAATCCACTTCACACACCCCAACACATAACACTCGTCGTTTTGACACGCAACAAAATTTAATCCTGCCAAAGTGCAGAGAATATAGAAAGGGGAGAAAAAAAAACAAAAAAATTGACAGAAGAAAAAAAAAAAAAAAGTGGCAAAGCAAAAGTGCAGAAAAGTGGAAATTTAACTGAGCAGAGAGCAAAATGAAAACGAAAATTAAAAAGAAAGAAATATTAGAAAAGAAAAAAAAAGAAAATAAAAAATTCCTAAGATATGTAAAAGCAAATCAAAAATATGAGAAATATCAAAAAGCAGTTTTAAATAGCAAAAGTCAAAAGATAAATCATAATAATAAAAAAGTTCAACAAACAATCAAAATTAAAAATAAAGAAAATGTCCCTAATCATGTTAAAAGATATGATAATATTATAGAACCGAGCACTTTTTCCAAAGCCTATGATTTTATATTTGACAAAGTAGTGAATGATCATGTCAAAAATATCTTCTATGATACTCATATGTTATACTGCAATTTTGACTTGTCCACTAGCTACAGTAATGGAAAATCCTACAATATCCCAATGTAAGTTTACATACGAATGAGATATGCACACTTAGAATAATACACACAGTTGTTAGCTGTATTTTTTTTTTTTTTTTTTTTTTTGTGTGCATATACAACATACATACGACTTAACAGAGGGGATATGTAACCATTCACCTCTTTTGAAATGCAAATTTTTTTTTTTTTTTTTTTTTTTTTTTCCCCTCCTCATTTTCACTTGACTTTGTTCAGAAATTTAATTCATTCTTACTATTTGGACGTAATAATACTAGTTAATGAAGAAAGTGAAAAATGGAGGAACATGGTTATAGAAAATAAAATTAAGAGGGTAAAGAAGGTAAACGAAGAAAAGGAGCAGAATATATCACATTTTATCATACAATTTTCTTTCTGTATGTATTTCCTTATACATCCTATACGTTCACATTCCCTTCCTATAGACGTGCAGCATGTGCATATATGCACGTATGTATGCACATATATACGTATGTACTTGTGTACATATAACACTTATACACATATGTAAGTACATATACAGTTACGTATGTAAATTCCCCCATTAGGTCATGATGTATGACAAGTTTGAAGGTATTTACTACAAAGAAGACTTACTAAACGAACAGCTAAGAAAATATGATTTGTACATTTTTGACGCAGCCATACGGACAAAGAAATATGCACACATCATTTCGAAGATTAAGAAAAACAATAAGTATGTTTTATCAACAAATTTATCAAATACCCTAGCTCAAATTCACCCCCCAACTACCCCTTACCCTGCTATAAACTTAACTCCATTTATGTGCATTATTTCCTCCCTTTCTGCTTACACCTCAGAACATTTACAACATTACAGTTAGACGAAGAATCATTTGTAGATAACATAGACAATGTTATAAAAAGGACGTACATAGATCTGAATAAGGGATCAACACAGTAATCCACACTTCTTCACATGCAAACTTCATCACATGCAAACTTCATCACATGCAAACTTCATCACATGCAAACTTCATCACATGCAAACTTCATCACATGCAAACTTCATCACATGCAAACTTCATCACATGCAAACTTCATCACATGCAAACTTCATCACATGCAAACTTCATCACATGCAAACTTCATCACATGCAAACTTCATCACATACAAACTTCATCACATACAAATGTCATCACATGCAAACTTCTTACCCACCTGTTATCGTTTGAAACCTTTTTAGCTCGGTTCCCATTGGATATCTTAGCTTAGGAAAGGATAAATTATTTGATAATATAAAAGAGTAAGCAGGAGGGTGAAATTAATATTTCTTTTCTTGTCATGTGCATTTAATAAAATCCCACCATTTGGATACAAAAAATTTATACTAACCAGATTTGCATAACCATATTTCTACTTTTATATACTACAGCAAAACATGTTAACATTTATGAAAACATCCTTATAACCAATTATTTTGTAGGACGACAAAAATTATGCTTCAGTTTTATGAACAAAAAAATATATCAGTAGTCTCAATAAACTTAAGATATGTAAATATGACTATCCCTGTGTATATACATGTATTGAAGGATGGTACCACAGCAAGCTACTGCTGATTTGAGACATACATATTATGGGTGGAAAAACACCAATCATACTCCAAAAAAAGAAAAAGACCAAAATGGCGAAGAAGAAAAAATTTGAAAGAATGTTCACCGTGAACGATCTTACTTAGAGCGAATTTTTGCAAATGAAACAAAGAGCTAACTTATTTGCAAGTGCTTTGAAACAGTGAATATGATAAACTGATAGACAGTTAGTACAACGCCTATTCTGCAAAAAAAAAAAAAAAAAAAAAAAAGGAAAAACACGAAATGGGGTAAGGGATGAAATAGGAGAAATAAAGCTTGCACAAAAAATTCAACACTTCATTGAATATATATATATATATATATATATATATGTATATACATATTTTTGTATGACTAAACATTTGGAAAGAAAACAAAAAAGTAGAAAACATCTAACAGAAATGTGTCGAAAACGTAACAAAACAAAACATAGTTGAGAGAAGAATAAAATCCCCAAATGTCAAAAAGAATTTGTACCTCCACAATTATTGCGTTATTGCAAAGTGAACACTTGTCCAAATTCGTAAGGGAAAAATACTTTATCAGATCCTTCAGAGAAAAATGGGAAAGTGCATATGTTTGTTGTGCATCTAAATGTGCGTGTTGTATGCATGTTCGAAGGAGTTATCCATACCCTCACTAGCTTGTGTTATTCATATACGTTGCATCTCATTCATACGAATGTTTTTTTTTTTTTTTTTTATTTTATTTTTTTTTATTTTTTTTTTGTTTTTTTTGTTTTTTTTGTTTTTTGTTTTCTATTTTATTTATTTATTTTTTGTTTTTTTAGTATAAACGCATACCCCGCCTTACTCACATGCTGAATACTTCACCAACACGTATAACATAATGTTCATATATATATGCATGCGTGAAAATTTTAAAAAATTTCGCATACCGTAAAAAATCGCATCCCCAGGGACAATTCACCTTGCTCCTTTTGAAGCCAATTATGAAATAATAATTTGTCTACTATAGCAATAACGAAAGGGATAAAACATATTTGTGCATATATGTATGTACGTATATGATTATATACTGGTACACGCGTCCAATACTCCATTTTTTTTTTTTTTTTTTTTTGTTGTTAAGATAGCGCTGTGTTGGAATTTATAAACAGACATTGTTTCATTTTTCCCTTTTTTTATTTAAGTACATTTTTTGCTCTTTCAAAATTTCACTCCCAACATTTCTTAACACTTTATATGTATTTCTCTCATAACATTACGTATTGATTTTTGGGTATTGACATTCTTTATATTCATCTTAAGACATAAGGTTTCATAAGTTATATCTCCAGAATCCATACTTAGGTACTTATTATTACTAATTATATAATCAATAATTAGGTAATACAAACTTATTTCGTTTTTTTTAAATAACGAGTTAAACAAATATTCGTCTTTAATGTTAAGAGAATTTAAGGACTCATTCATATTCTCATCCTTCCTAGGTATTGCCAATTTCTCACAGCTAATTATGAAGTACTCTTCACCATTTATCAGTTCATTCTATGTAGAGGTGCAAAGGGTGGTGGTAGTGGTGATAATGATAATGATGGAAACGAATGTAGGTCTCATATGTTTTTGATTCGTTACAGTTTCGTTATTGTTTCTTTTTTGTTTATTTTTTTATATTGTCGAATAGACAAATGGGTGCACACTTTTTTTTTTTTTTTTTTTTTCTTATTTTCCATAAACCCCACGTTATCATCCATCACACCATACATTTACGATGAATCCAAGTGACTCTAACTGCTCATTCGCATGCTGGATAATTTGGTTCACGTCTCCAAACTTTTTTAATAAACTAAAAACATATTTTTCCTTCAAGCACTATAGGGAAAAGGAAAAAATTGATGTCAAAATAATATTTGACACAACCATAAACCGAAAAAAAGAAAAAAATATATACATATCAACAAATTTGAAATGCTTCTTATTTCTATGGATGCATAGCAAAGTGTACAATATTCATCAATAAAGGTAAATAAAAAACTGCACACAAAGTGAAGTCTTCCTTTGTACAACAACGCAAATGTAGCATTACATGGTTGGTTGATTAAAAATGTAAATTTGTTTCATATATATGACTGTGAAAAAAACACTGCATTTTTTTTTTTTTTTTTTTTTTTCATTTTCCTATCCTCCTATTTGAGTGTTCTTTTTTTTTTTTTTTTCACTCGTAGTAGTAGTAGTAGCAGTAGTAGCAGTAGTAGCAGTAGTAGTAGTAGTAGTGGTAGTAGTAGTAGCAGTAGCAGTAGTAGCAGTAGTAGTGGTAGTAGTAGTAGCAGTAGCAGTAGCAGTAGCAGTAGTAGCAGTAGTAGTAGTAGTAGTAGCAGTAGTAGCAGTAGTAGCAGTAGTAGCAGTAGTAGCAGTAGTAGCAGTAGTAGCTGTTCCTGTCACAGGAGTAGTCTTAGTCTGTTCCATTTTTCGCTGTACCTTCTCCTTAATCAACAGCTGTGATAAAATCCTGGCAGCCCAGTCATTTTCCATTGTTCATAAAATGAGGAGAGAAGTTAAAATTCGAAGCTGTTTGCACATGTGCTACGACAGCTGAAATGGTGATTATATTAATGCATCAAAAGTTCAGGGAAAAATCATCCCACGAGCATTTGTGTGCATGCCTCATATAAGTACGTATGCATATATGTATGTATTACGTATATGTGTATATTTGTATGTATATATGTATATTTGTATGTATATATGTATATTTGTATGTATATATGTATATTTGTATGTATATATGTATATTTGTATGTATATATGTATACTTGTATGTATATATGTATATTTATATGTTTATATATGCACATTCTAAACACTACTGCTATTTGCTCACAATGAATTTATAGCCTCACGTTAATTGCCCACTCACGTGTAAATTAAAAATTAATCGAGCACACTTGTAATGTTGGATGTATATGTTTCCTCAGATTGCGTGGAATTTTCCACCAATTTTTTTTTTTTTTTTTTTTTTTTTTCGCACTAGCGTAATCATAACACTATAATTACAAAAAAGAAAGGGAAAAAATAAAAAATGATCACGTACATGTAACTCCCCCAAAATGAACAGCCTACAATGTGCAAGTATTTATTCTTTCCGATAACAGATAGCACATTTCAAATGAATTTTTCTTCGTATCATAAGTAACTCAAATGAGTAATGTAACATTGTACCTTTAATTGATTTCATGAAGTGTATTACATATATAAGGTGTCAAAACATTCACTACCTTTTAATGTGTGTACAACACACACCAGTGCTTATCAACCCTAAAAAGACCAATTTGAGGGAAAAAATAAATGATCGAACAGTTCAGTATTAGCACAAAACAAAATTAGCACAACGTGCGAAATGTACTTGACTCTCCACTTCCAACCCAAAATATCAGTGCTTAAAGTTGATCTCTTAAAGTTGATCTCTTACAGTTGATCTACCTTTTTATCATAACATTTGTATGCAGAATTTACTATGTTGCCATATTTGGGAAAAGTCCAACATTAATTGTTTTTCCTCTCCACAACACCTCTTACTTATTCCACTTTTAAAATCCAAAAATTTGTTATCCCAAAATTTACGACAAAACAACATTGTTTTTAAGGCGTATGTTAAATAAAACGAGCAAAAGGATACATATAATATGTATATATAAATATACATATGCATATATACATATATGTATAAAATAACACTAATGAGGGTATAATATATATACAAACAAATGTTATATCTATTGTGCTTCACAATGTATATGAAAAGCTATGGTTTTGCTATTTTTGATAACTTCTCTTTAAATCATCTTTCTTCACTTTAAGAGTGCTAAAATACTTTCTCAGCTGTGGGTTGCATCACTTATTTGTGTAACATTTTTTTTTTTTTTTTTTTTCTTTTTGTTATTACATTATTTTATGCTCCATTTAACACCCCACCTATATATATATATATATACATTATGCTAGAAAAATTTGCCTCATTTTTATATTTGAAAAAAAAACATACACAAAGAAAAAAGTATTTATATTCTTTTTTCATTCTAAAACATGTTTTCATTTCATGATTTCATCATTACACCATTTGACCGTTTTATCACCTCTTAAACCTTCTCATTTTTCCCTTTCTGATATATTTTTTTTTTTTTTTTTCCTTTTTTCACGCATAAGCTGGAAACAAAATGTATAGCATTTGCTTTTCAACAGAATTTTCTCAAAACGTGATATATTTATAAAGAGCTTTTACATTTTTTAATCAAATTTCATTTCTCACATTTTTGCCTTTTTATTCTTCATTTGATTTTTTATAGTTCATAATCTTTTTTTTTTTTTTTTTTTTTTTTAACCATGCAACTTTTCATTTTGCCATGACTTGACAGTTGCAGAAAAAAAACTATTCATTTTTTCTCAACTTTTACGCGACCAAACAATTTTGTATGCATTCTTAGCTAAAACAGGTAGATCAGAAAAAAAAAAAAAAAAAAAAAAAAAAAAAAAAAAAATTACGTTACAGAAACAA